ACCCCAGTGCCTGAACCCCAATCCCACTCGTTCATCATCAAGACAAGGTGCTACAGACGGGACGGGGCTCTTTCTCTTATTACCAGTTTATCGAACTACTACTAGCAGGAAAAAAAATAATCAGCTGGGGACGTCCTCCGCCTTTCCCATTCGGCCAATATCGGGATTAGCGTACGGATACGCTGCATACGCCACGTTGGACTTGCCATTGGGCGCCCAGACGAGCGATAGCCTCACACTCCCCCTGCAAGCCACAGAACCCCATTCCGCCTCTCTCTCTGCATGCGTGTCCCTTTCCTATTTTTCCTGGGGGGTTTTTTTTTTCTTTTTTCTTTTTCCTTCTTGGTTGCCTCTTTTCTTTCAACGTTCTTTCCTCGGGGTCACAGCCTAGTAATATATGCACGGCGGACAGAGGAGAGGTCCCGACAGCCCGGAACCCAGACAACAAAACGTCGCGCAAAAAAGAGAGAGCAAAAGGAAGGGATCTCGTTCTAACGGGGAGGGGACGCCACGTTCGCCCCAGCGGGCTTCTTCCGTAACGATTCAGGCCAGTGCGTCTGGCGCGCCACTGGCCGGGCGAGCAACGGATGTGATAATCTTGTGCTGGCCGTCAACCGTGAACTTGATCTTGTTGCAAGGCAACACTCGTCTGCTGCTGAGAAGCGAGGCTGGGTTCGCATTAGGAGCCTTTTTCGCTTATCCAATGAAAAGCCACCTACAGCGCGGCTGAAGATGGATGGGCGCTCTGGCGCAGCCAGCTGCTGCTACGCCTTGCGACCCGACTTCGTCATGCCCGTCCAGGACAGGGGGCCTGTCATCAGCAAGGCTTGGTTCCGGCTGGCTGGCCGGCTGCGTCGCGATGAGTGCGGCTGGCTGAAAAACGTGAAATGGTGAAATGGTGAAATGGTGAAGTGGTGAAGTAGCTGGCTGCCTCTGCCATCACGATAACTTCACCTCGGCTCATCTCTTCATCTCTTTCCTCCTCGTACTCTTATACACATACATCCCTCTTATACATGGTACTAAATCTAGGTTCCCAGCCCACCCACCTCTTGTCAGTGTCGCACACATCCATCGTGCTGTTTCCTGCGCGGCATTGAAGCACCGCAGGCACAATCTACCTGCACCTATGTATATTCACACATTCAATAATAACGCCAGCCCGCGCCAGGATTTGAACGTTTTCTCTAGGCCCCCTCTTCTCTCCCTCTCCCCTCCCTCCTCTTCCACTTCCTCCACCTACCTCCTCTTGTCAACCGGGGAGCCGGGAACGGTTTTGTAAATGAGCCCACGCAACCTGGGCAGCAAATCACCTCTTTCTTGTCCTCTTTTTTCTTCCCCAGCCAGGAGCCCATGTTTCCGCTGCCGCTGCTGCCCCCCACTCGGCAAGGCCGGCGACCTGCAGGTAATCAAGAAGTGTGTAGGTGTGTGCGTGTGCATGCGAGTATGTATGCGGATGAGTTGCTGCCAGCGCGAATCTCTTACCTGTTTGCGTTGAATTCCATTACTTCATCTCTTCTCTTTTTTTTTGTTTTCTTTCACACCCATAACAAGTACCAAGGCTAGATTAATGCCACCTTTTCGATGAACGGCAAAAAAGAACACCTCGTACCACCGGCCGAGAGTATTACTCGGCGAGGCTGTGTAATAAAAGATTGGATGCGTGTGCGCATCGCCGTGCGTGTTTTCGGTACCTGCTCGGGGGGGATTAAACCCATCCCATCCCATGTTTCACTCTCCTCGTGTGCGTTGGACGGTGAAACAAAAGCTGCAGCGACTGAAACGTCAGCACTGTCTCGTTTTCTTTTTTTCCCTCATTTCGATGAGAAACTATGTCTGTCTATTTTTACCCAGGTCAGTGCTGGCGCTCGGTCGTTTTTTTTTTTCTTTTTTCTTTTTAGACTCCAGGCACGCGCCAGTGGGAAAGTCTGCCGCGGGCCATGCATAGAGAAACTCTCTCGTTACTCTGCAGCAGTGGTACAGTACACATACATGTAGATTGTGCTATGCAATAGTTGGGAACCTTGTTCTGATCATCAGGGTCGTCAACGCCGGCATCCAAGACTTTGTCAATCCGGTGTAAATAAGGCCCCCCTCTGGCACATGGTGGCGTTGCTTCACAACCACCCCTCTAGAGAAGAAGAAAACAAGAAGAAAAAAAAGCACTCAATCTCAAGCAGTTAACATGCACAAGGCCGTCGCGCATTCATCAACCCCCCCCCCCCCACGTGGGGGTTTTTGAAGCCAACTCACGCCATGATGTCGTCGTCTTGGAGCTCGTATTTCTTTTTATTATTTTAAAGAGTAACCATTTCGACCGCTCCCAGGCAAACTATTAGCTCCCGTGATGGAACCTGCCGATCAGCGAGAGCGCGCGGGCAACTTCCCCAAAGGGCAAGTACACCAAAAGTAGATCAACGGGGTCGCAGATCATCCATCACGTCTCCCAGCAGCTGCGCATCGAATCGCTTAGATGGCCCGAGAGCCTTTTCTATTGATTTTTGCGACAGGCACAGATACCGCTAGGGTATTGGTTCTCGTACTGCTCGCTGGGTTTGCTCAAGGTCCTCCCTGCAGGGCTGTTACCGCCGATCCTGTCCGAGGCTGGATGTTCGGGCAAGGGAAAAGCCAATGCGGTCGAAAATCAATCCCACGCCATCGCAAAAGCCATCGACAACATACGTACGGATACTGGTAAATAGATCTCCATGATCAACGCGATCTGTGCTATGATTTCTGCGAGACTCGAATACATCCTTGCACGGGCGTCATGGCCTCCAAAGACCCTTATTAACCGTCCCAGTAAATAAACATACCTGATTAGCCATGAATCAGTGCACAAGTCTAACCGCCGCCTCTGGCTAACGTGACGAACTGCTCGTCTGAATCACTTCTCGCCATGTCTCAGTCTCCGCGTGCGCGGCAAACTTTTGCAAAGAAAGGCAGCGAGCGACACGTTCAGAGGAAAAAGTAATTCGTACAAGTCTGCCAATTACCACACGTAGGAGAGCGCCCTCGATAAATTGCGCGTTCCGCTAACTGGAACTTGCAGCGATGAGCAACGGCGCATTTGCCTGATTGATTCTTCGTCGGCCGCAACTCGTGGTTTCAGCAAACGTCCAAGCTTCGGGATACTTGTCCGAGGTTTTTTTTTTCCTTTTCTTCTTATCTCTCAGCCATCGTCGCACCAACAAGAAAGAACCTTGTCAGTGCCCAACACCCTCGCCACGAACATACCTTGCGCGCGCGGACACACACTCACACCTTACTTACACCTTGCCCGTCCATGCCATGTACGATGAGGTCTCGTCGATCGGTCACAAGCACACCGAACAATGTTACTTGTCAGATCTGTACGGGCGTACCACACGAGCGCCGCCGCAATTTCTATATACGTTGTATGTACATCGCGCAAAATCCCGCTGGAGATGCAAAGTCGGGCTCCGTTACCTGGCATGTTTCTTTCGTCCGGTCTCTGGCCGAAGCTCGCTAAAACGAGCAAAACATACCCCGTGCACTGATTCAGACACCGTGACGACGCGTTGGCACGGCCCTTGGCCGAAGGAGGGGTCGTTAGGGGTCTTTGTTGTGCGTTCATGCTTCAACGACGATAATGCGCGCGCCCAGAAGTAAAATGAACCTTGCATTATTCCGCGGCGACCACAAGTTCCGTCCAGCCCTTGTGTCCTTATGCATGACATCTGCCGGCTCACTCCAGTTGCCAAGATGATGGGATGGCCAGCAACGAGATGACTGACGAGTTATGCCCGGGGAACACAGACAAGTGTAGTAAACGCCCTCATACATAGAGCCACGGACACTATCCAGATCCGCCGCAGTTAAGGTTTACCCGCTGCTTGAAGCCGTTTTCTTGTTTCCCTCTGCTTCTTTTTACAGGGGGGCGGGCTGTTCTGAGCGATTTGGCGAGCGCTTCCAGGCTGGCACTGATCCCCAAGTAGCACCGCATGATGCTGGGCATCGAGTACATTGACTGCCGCCACGAGTTGCACTCCCCACGATAAACTCGATGCCCTCGACAAGACTTGCACGACCAATCATCTTGAAGCAACGCTCATTGAATTACAGAGTAAGGGGGTTTGATGCAAGCTGCCCATCTTTCCTAGCTGGGCTCTGGGTAGCAGAAGAACGACGCGAAAAAAGGGACCACTGTGTTGCATGGTCGGGCCTTGCGCGTGCGTGCGTTTTCAGCCCAAATTCGAGGCTTCGAAGAGGAGGACATGAGCAGGATTTCACGAACGCGGGCAGCGCGGGGAGCGCCAGAACCAGTAGTCTCATCAAACCTGAACTTGCTTAAGAAACGGATATGATACCTTCGCAGAAAAGCCCACCCTCTTTTCTTTCCCTTCTTCGTCTTCTTCTTCCCCGTGATGGATTCGCCTGCATACAAGCGGCCTCCTGTCAGCTCGTCTGCATGATCGCCCGCTATGCCCCCCCCCCAAAATCTTATCCATGGACCTTGTCTGCCGCCCAATAGTGCCCTACGTATTCTTGGCTTCGGAGTAGACGTTTCGACCCTCCGGGGGAGAGGGAGGATATTTCTGTGATTTGTTCAGCCCACAGGCCGCAATACTATGCGATTCAGCGACACACATACAGACAGAAAAACAGGGTCAATTGCCACGGCATGGAAAGTGGTAGGTACAGTTCAGAGTTATAATTCTTGTTTGTAATCCATCGATATTATAATACAATGCATGGAGCAAGCCCCCAAGATTTCGCCCGTGTTTTGTCAACATTGTTGGCATTCTCCCGATGCCAAAACGTCTCTCCCAATCTTCTTCTAATCTTCTATAAAACAGATGACCGACGAAAAACCTTGATACAGTCGTGAAGAGAAGCCAAGAGTAAGCTTCAACTCCGGCACCCAGCAGATTAGGAGTAGTTTCTATGCCCCCCACAAACTCCCAGCCCAAATAACAAAAATGACAAGAACCGAAATAAAGAAACACGCCGGGTCGCAGAAAGTGTTTTGCAGTGGCTCACCCGGCCATGGCGTGGCCGATGGCGCCGCCAATCTCACCAAAGAGCACGCCCTTGAAGACCGTCTCGCCCATCTGCTGCGTCCACGCGCCGGCGTCACGCAGGCGGGCCGTCCACGCGTGCCGCTGCTCCTCCGGCAGATCCTCCCACGCCTTGCCGGGCCCGTGAACCTCCTCGTCGTGCGCCTCGACCTTGATCTCCGCGGCAACCGCCCCCTCCCCCTCACCCGCGTCGCGCTTCAGCGTCTCAGCTACCAGCACCACGACGTCGTCGGTCGGCACCACCTGCCCGTCGCCGACAATCTTGGCCAGGAAGTCGTCCCGCAGCAGCGCGGTGCTGTCCATCTCGGCGACGACCGGCGCGGCATTCTGCAGGTGAGCAACCACGGATGGCGTGCTGGTTAGCGTCGTCGTCGTCGTCGTCGAGGCACCGGGGAAGAAGATTGGGTAGCCGGCGCCCATCACCTCGAACACGTACTGCCCGACGAGCGCGAGCAGGAGCACCACGATGGAGAAGAGCGTGATGGCCCTCTTGGCCGTCGTGGGAGCCCTGGCCTCCATCTTGGTGACGTAGCGGACCGGCCGCGGGGGCGCGTTCTTGTTCCTCGGCGTCTTGTCTACGAACTGCTTGAGCGGGATGCTCTGCAGCGCAATCGACTTGGACATTGTGACGCTCACCAGCTTGAGGAACTGCGTCTCCCCCGCCGCCGCCGCCTTCTTCGTCGGCGCGGTAAACGTCGACAGGGCCATGCCCGTGATCTCGCTGTGGCCGTGCACGCCCTGCAGAGTCGTCAGGGGGTGCAGCCTGGTGAGGAGGTTGACGGCCGGCGACGCGACGTGCGTCAGCGACATGAGCGAGATGGAGGCGTCGCCGCGCGCGACGGCAATCACAAACTGCGTGTCGCCGAGCGACTCGACGCCGCCCTTGGCGCTGAGCGTCGGGCGCGAGAGGCTGGCGAGCGCAAACGCGGTGGCCTGCGTCTTGCGGTCCAGCTTGGCCGACACGGCCAGGCGCGCCTTCTCCTGCCCGGGCTTAGGCAGGCGGAAGCCGTGTACGACGGCGCCCGCGCGGCCGATGTTGGCGACGGTGAGAATGAACTCGGGGCCGAGGAAACGCGCGAAGCGGAACTTGGGCCGAGTGGCCGCTGAGGGCGCCACCGTATCGTCGGACGCGATGTTGTAGATGAGCTGCGGGTCTTGCTGGCCCTTGCCCACCTTAACCAGGAACAGCTCCTGGCCGTAGCAGTACGTCAGCAGGTGGTCGCCGTCCGCCAACTGCACGAGGTCCATGTCCTCGGCCTCCCGGGGGAGCTCGATCGTCCCGCGGCTCTTCAGCGCGGCACCCCTGCTGCTGGGGACGTCGAAGAGCGCGACCTGCGGGTCCTTGCCGTTGGCGGAGGCCGCCGCGCCAAGGTTCCCGGCCACGCGCAGCAGCCGCTGGTAGACCGCCGGGGCCGAGTCGACGATGAGCGGGTGGCGGAGGTCCTCCTTGACGCTGGTGTCGGGGCCGGTGCCGCGAATCGAGATGCTACGCAAATGCTCGTTCTTTCCCTTGACGATGTCGTCCTGGTGCGAGTTGACGCCCGCGAGAACGCTGATCGTCTTTCCCTTGCGCCCGGCAAAGGCGAGGGACATGACGCTGTCCTCGCTGCGTGGTAAGTCGAGCTCCCCGACGATGCGCAAGTCGTCTGCGCCGGAGGTTTCCAGGACGCTCTGTCATCAGCGCGCAAAGAGTCAGCAAAATGGTGTCGTACGTGTGCGAGCGAATGGAGGGTGTATAGCGCAATGCAACCCGCAAATAGATTTTCTTACGAGTTTGTTGGGCACGCCGGAGCGGTTGGGACCTCCTCCGCCGCTGGCGATGATGCGCGAATCATCCTCCGGGTCAAATTCGACGGCGAAGAGCGGGTAGTCGCTCCTGGTGTATGTGGTCGGAAATGGCTGCGACATTGTGCGCGCGTGACTGTGTGTGGTTGTTTCTGCGATGCTCTCGTTTCGAGGAAACGCTTGCGCAGAAGTCGTTCGCTCGCTGTCGCAGGAGGGTACGGGTGCGTGTCGTTCGTTATGCGCTCGGCTCGCTGGCGGCTGCGTCAATGCGGTTCGGGAGGGTATGTCTAGTCGAGGGGCTCCGTTTCGAAATGAAATTTTCAATGACGCGGCGTTTACAGGAGTTTGGCGATGATGCGACTGCAGAAACGAGCGGCTAACTTGGGGGGTTGCCGTTTGCAAATCGGGAAAGACGTGAGGTCGAGGCCAGATGTTCACAGGATATGTGGGTCACGGCGCTCCAAGCCTCTTCAGGCAGCGAGAGGAGCAGAGGACCGGGGCGAACTGGCGGTATTGTTTATGAAATCTTAACTTGAATTAAATAGGTGTATACTGAAGCTGAAAGTTATTGGCATATATCATTGCCTTGTGACGCCACACTCTGCGTTGCAGGTTGCGCGGTAAAAGTGGTGTCTGTTATCCTTTCAATATCTCTCTCAATATTGTTGCGACATTGATGATTAGCAAATCCCGAACCTTGAGGATTTTTCAATATCCATAGCTTTGTCTTTTTTTTTTTTTTTTCCGAACCCCCCCAACCAATGTCGCATCGTCACGCTGGCCCCGTTCTACATGCCTGCCCTTCATCATGTACCTTATGCGTAAATACCATCGCCAACGCTAGGTGCTCAAAAGTGGTTAATAAATAAATTTTATATATTCTCGGGGTATGTCCAATCTCGCTAAGGTATCAATCTGTAATGTCGCCGCACCAGGTATCCTCGCTCGCTATAAAAACACCAAACCATGCTCCAAAATTGATCGGGTATATGATTCCAACCGTGCACCGAAGCCTTGCCTTGACTGGCTTCTTAGCAACGACTGTACGCCAACAAAAACAGCTCAGATTTTGCAAACAAAGAAAAGGGAAACAAAAAAAAAGCACCAGCCCTAGGTTCAAAAACAAGTACGTTGAAGAGTGAGGATTGCCCTCGTACCGTCTCATTTTCGGAGTGTTCCGCCCCTGTAGCCATGTTATTCTTTTTCAACTCCAGCACAGTCGAAATGCGTTTCGCTAAGAAAGAATCGTCAATAACTAGAAAATCGAAGCAAGAATCATGAGCAAGAATTCCAAGTCGACAAAGGAAATCGCAGTCAGACAGTAGTCTGCAAGCCGGTTGCCCGGAGAATGACTCTGTACCCCCTCCTCCTCACAGCTCAACATTGCATGATTATATAATGATATTGACAAATATAAATATCAAGGGTTTCGTGAATTGAAGCTTCTTTTGTACATGTTAGTCATGTTCAGATGTAGGGAGATGCAGTGACAAAGACCGAGCCGTGCAGTTGTAGTTGCGCCGAGGCGGAACAGATCAGATTATCGTGGATGACCGTCGACATTTCGAGTGGTAGCCCAGCCAGTCTCGTAAGGCCGTGGCGGCGCGACTCGCCAGTCCCCCGTGACCGGGTCCCTCTCGTGCGTAGCATGTCCCGAGTGCATCTCGTGGGGAGGAGGCGGCCCGTCCATGGCCCTCAGTGGTGGAAGAGCCGTCATGGGTCGAGGAGGCATGGTTTGTACGTGTGAATGCATAGGCGGCAGTGTCGTCGCGGGGGGCCCCGGATGCGTAGAGTAGTTGGCCGCGTACTCTGAGTGCTCGTCAGTTCTCCGCCGCTGCGCTGGCCGTTCGACAGACGATGCTTCGCTGATATAACCCTGCGACGGCGTATGTAAGGGGCGCGGTTTCCCTCCCATAGGGCTGTGATCCGCGTACGAGTTGACGCCACTCCTTGAGCCTGGGCTCGGCGGTCCGGAAGCATGCTGGCTGATCGCGGGCGTGCGGAGGACAATCTCTCTGAGGCGGTTGCGCTCTTCACGGTAAAAGTCACGCTGGCGGGTCAGATTTTCCATCTGCTCAGCCATTGCCTCTTGGTCGTCTTTGAGGTCCTGAAGCAAGCGGATATTCTCCTCCTGGATATTCTTCTTCTTTCTGCGATGCCGAGTGGAAGCCTTGGCATTCCGCTGGCGCTTCTCGTCTGCCTTCTTCGACGCCTGGGTGGTGTCAACTGGAACCGCCATTATCTCGCCATTAGGCAAGGTCATGTAGGCTTGCTGGCCATCCGAGTTGAGGCCATGTCCCCCCATTCCCGATCGTCGCATCACGTCAGGCCAAGCCGACCCGCCCTCGTTAGATACTGTAGCAGGTTGCCGTGCAGTGGGAGGCGCGCCGTGATGACCCTGGTAATAATGCGGGTGGGGATGCGACTGACGCGGTCTATCCGTGTGTCGGTGATATTCTCCTGGGAGAGCTGGGGCAGGAATCTGATGCCGTGCATCGACTTGTCGAACTGGCTGTGCAGTAGCTTTGAGTGGAGACGACATCGTACTGGTATTCGGAAGACTGTTTGAAGGATGATGGTGACTATACGGCGGATGCTTCAACTCTGGAGGTCCATCGCCCGAATACGAAAATGGCCGTTTGGATCCTGCTACTGGGTGGACATGAGGCGCTCGCCCGTCATGCTCGTGTGCAGTCGTCCCGTGAATCGATTTTGGGCTCATCGGTTTCCTCTGATTTGTTGCTGGGAACGGATATGCCCCGGCAGGAGAGTTCTTCTCAGACATCGCGGGCCGGCCAGATGGGGTTCCCATGCCGCCTGCTCCAGGTGTCCCTGGCAGAGACACAGAGGTCACATCGCCCGGTCTTGTTGAGCCATGTATCCTCGCGACGTGCTCTGCATCTTTCCAATGCTGCGCTCGCGCCTCAACCTCACGGACACCCGCTGGTGATCCTGCCGGATTCAAGAGATTGTACATTCCAAGGCTTTTGCTCTGATTATTCGGGATGGGTAGCTGACCGTTTCCGGTCGTCGCCCCTTGACCGTGAAGTACATCTTGACGACTTGGTTGTATTGGCTGAGTGTGGGGAGAGTCCTGTTCAAATTTGATGGGAGATGTCACCGATGGATGCGAAGCAGGACGAGCTGCAGGTCCATTATGTGACATCGAGACCTGGTACCCTGCTGTTATAGGGCCCTTAGCGAACGCACATTGACTCTCCGAGAATACAAGCAACGTCCGGATGGCGGAACTCTTGGGCGATGCTTCGGCTTCAAGGTGTTTGGAATTCCAAGTAGGCGTCACCGGTGTTCTAGGCGAGTTCGGAGTTGTTGCTGTTGACGAGTCGAGGCCGGCGGCAGCCCCAGGGCTTGGGTTCGCGGGTGGTGCCTGCTGCCACAGGCTGGATCCTGAGTTCGCCAGGATGTCCGTAACGACTTGGGACTGGTTCGGGCTGCACACCCAACAAGTCCCTATGATACTGATGAGAACGTTGCCGGGTAGGGATAAGAGTTTGTCGGCGCCTAAAGAGTGAATCTCGCTTCTATCCTTGGCTTTTGGAATCGATAACTAGTCAACTCTTGTCGAGCTCTCGTCCAAAGAACAATGTGAAATAGCATAGGCCAGTTACCAGGGTCTGGACCTGCCCACTGCGATGGTCAAGCTCTGACAGGCAAGTTCGATAGCTCGGATATCGAAGATTCAACACAACTGCGTTGATGAGAAGAAGCCTATGCAAAAACAGATCTGTTCGGAACTTTAAGCACCATAAACGGCTGCCTATGGGTTAGTCTCATGGTCGTGTATTGTTTGTATCGGGATGCATAAGACGCCTGGGGATAGCTTGGGTGCCACAGTGCGTCAAGTCGAGTCGAAGAAGCAGCAGAGAAGATGCCTGGGGCTTGTTGGACGTGATTGGTGATTTTATGATTGAGCTTACCGTGAAGCAGTGGAAATCACTGTGGCGGCTCCAAATGCAGAGCAAGTAGGGTAGTTAGGCAGAAGAGGGGAGAGCAGACCATATAGCACAACAGAACAGCGGGAAATGATGCAGGCTAACGCAGCGCTCCGATGGGAAGTTGAGTGACAACGTTGGCCAGATCGTCTTTGGCAGGCTTTCACACCGTTCAAAGTCTAGCCAGCCACAGAACTTGCGAAAGGCAATACGAAAGGGATATGATACAAGAAGATGTCCAGGCCGGTACGTATTGGTGAGTTGCAAAGCCTCCGAGTCAACAGATGCTGCGTAGCAAGAAGTCAAGGGAGGAGAAGGACGAAAGAAGAGAGGATGTTTGGTAACAAACTTCTTTTGGAAGAGGGAACCGGGCGGCCAGGATCAATTAGGACATGGGTCTCGCAACATTCTCCAACGAGCCCGCCGAGCAGGGGTGTAGGAACACTGGCCTTGTCGACAGGACTGATTTCATCACCACGAGAGCAGAGTGGTTAGCGCATATGGAGTGCCATACGGCACGGAGTACATGGAGTAAGTACATTTGAGTACATAGTGATTCTTGCATGCGCTTGTGCACATTGAACTTCATTTGACGCCCACCCATGTTGGACACCCCCCCTCCACAGTCCCCCCCTTGGCAAGGCTAACCGGCCACCCATCTCAAGTGAGAAGGGCATGGTATCAGACCTGAGCAGGTACCGCTTGCAGTGAAGTCACTGGGAATAACGGCAAGGCGGGCAAAGGTAAGAAGAGCAAGAAGCATGGCGCAGGGGTAAGATACCCATCCATGTGTTTATTTGAGAAGTTGGAGGATACAGCGCCGATCATGGTATGCGGTTCGGATGCTCGTGAGTAGAGATGCATGTCGGGCTTGGGCAGGCATATTTCTTTTTATTACTTTCCCTCGTTCTTTTTTCGTGTCTGTCTTGTTATTGTCCCCGATGGCAGCGGCATCGGCATCTGGACAGGCCACGCTGGCAAGCAGGCAGGGCGATTCGGGGCGGCGAAGAGAGGTTTAGTTATTAGCGAGAAAAGAAAGGGTAAGGTCATGGCCCCGCCGGAAAATAGTCATTTGGGCGCAATTGGCAAACTGATCTCTCGTCAGTGATCAGCCTGTCTGTGAGGTGAGTGATGGACAGTGACTAGTAGGGATGGAGGATTTGGCGGAAGCGACCCGAGGCGACGGGCCATAGGGGAAGGAAGCTCGCGAAGAGCAGCTTACTAGTCACTCCATAGCTGGGTAGCTGGGTCGGTAACTACCTGGTGGCTTCGTCGGAACAGGGCAGTTTGTATCAGAGCGGCGCCGGGGCTGGCTGGGCTGTCGTGAGCGTCGACCCAAGATTAGGCACGAAAGGAGACAAGGCGGTGGGCAGCAGTTCTGCAAGAGGTCAAGACCGTGAGCGTGAATCGGGAGAGCGGGCTCCAGGTATAAAGCTACGTTAGCGTTGGCGTAGTTTTTCGTTGGCGTAGTTTTCGTTGGCGTGCAGAGAGGATGGAGTATGGAGTATGGGTGGAAGGTTGAGAGGCGGAACGCGAATGGTAGGTGTAGGCTGTAGGCTGTAGCCAAGGAGAAGGAGGATTGCTCGTGGTCGTCTTTGGGAGCTATCCGTTGTGAGTGCGGCAATGAGGCTGGCTGGGATGTTTTCCCTCCCCATTGGTTGTCTTGTCTCTTGGGTGGCAGGGAAGGAGCGGGCCATTTTTGCTGCTGTCTGCTTGCTGCGTTGTTTGCTGCTAGCTTTGGCCAGCCTACCCTTGGGTTAGGTACCTGCGCCGTGCCTACAGGTACCCAAGGGGGCTAACCAAGGGCCGCTCCGGTGCGCTGGTCTGCTAAAAACGCCCTAATGCAGTCTCTACATAGTTAGCAGCGCTACTAAAGCACTCTAAAATAACACCCAAAACCTCGCGTCGCAAGACGGCTCTTACCACCTCGGGTACTGGAGAACTGGAGTTACAGCCTGCACCTCCGTTTACCCGTAATCCATGCGTGGTCTTACGTTACCACTCAATCAATTCAATTCCATCATTCTACCTGTAGTCTGTGAATATCTTTTTTTTTTTTTTTTTTTTAAAAACCAACTGTAGTTGACCAATCGAGCTTGTCTATCCGTCGGTTGGAAGGAACCCTCTGGCCTCTCTGCTAATAATGTATGTACTGTACATACATACATACCTCGCCATGGAGTGGATGCGAGACACCTACCTAGTACCTACCTGTCCAGCGCCACAAAGCCAGACCTTACTTTGCTTCTGCATGCTCCAAACGGAACATCATGCCACGTCGAACCTTCTATCGGCCTTGAGCAAGTTGTTATCAGTTCGATCGTTCCAAAGATCAAACAAGAAACATCCTGACTCTCAACCTGCCGCATCCCCCCTCCTCAGCCTGACTCTCCTGCCCGGTGTGGCATCTATGCATGCTGCCCAACTAACAACAAAGCCTGCATCCACGGCTACCCTTGGCTGCGTGACGATCTCGCTATTCTTGTGTTCTTGTTGCTGCACCCATTGTTTGTTGCATACCCACTAGCAGAAATCACTTACCTTCATGCTCGCAGCTCCCTACCTCCATACTGATTGTGGCTGCAGCTGCCATGCCGTGATGCCACCTGGCTTGGGTGCCTGGGTGCTTTAGGCTTTGTGTTGCTGTGATGAATGGTGCGTCACCTTGAGAATAGACTGCCACAGTAAGTGCCTGCTACAGTGTCATTTCGAGACTCTTCCGTCTATTGTCCCATTTGTTCCTGATCATGGATAGGTACACTCATTGTCGTCCAGCCGATTGAAAAGAAATGGCACCGCCTACAAACGCACACCCAACTCCAACACGGCGGCCAACGAACACCATCACATCACTTTTGGTATTGGCCTGTCACAAAGAACGAAAAAGGGAAAGACGAGCATGCACACATTCGCATGCATGCTGCAGTCCCAGATCAACGCCCACATCCAATCGCATACCGTGCTGCCTGCAGCAAATGGCCTGTTAACGGCGGCTCGCCGACCCTGTCTCGTCTCTCGACCACACCCTCCACCGCCCTCGTTCTCCGTCTCTGCACCAGGACGCCCGACTCGATTGCAACCACCAGCCTCACAACCTCGAGTCAACTCAGGAAACCTCACTAGCGCGCATCTTGCGGCCTGGTAGTGCTGTTTGGAGCCCAAAACCCGCCCACACGGTCGGGAACGCACGCCCTCTGCAAATGGTGGGTTGCTGCCCCTGCAAGTCGCCCGCTCCCCGCTCCCAAATGCATCCGAAAAGCGCAACACAGAACCCCAAAAAAGAAAG